ATAAGGGTGCTAAACCGTAGATAAATTTTGTTACTAAAGTTTCGAACAATTTTCATAACGAAACAGTTAAAATACAGCAAGTACACATTTGTTTAAACGAAAGCTTCTATAACCACATTGATTAAATGTAATGTACTGTAATTAATTGAACTATTCAAATCAAATCACCTAGTCAAATAATGTGAGCCTGGTGACAACAGTATTTATCAATGTATCTTTCAAAGAGAGCGGGGATATGTACATGTTACCGGAAATGTACGAAATCCGGCATTGTATACAATTCCTAGGAAATGTATGTAATTTCTAAAACCGCCCGGAAATGTGTGAAATAAATTATATTAGACACATTTCCTAGGAAATCATATATATATATAATACCACAAATGGCGCGGTAAACGTCATCTGTAGTACAATGTTACATTTTAAGATTACGTATGCTCCAACAATATCCATTCAAATATGTGGATATCTACTTGCTAAAACGAATCCCGGCGTAGCTAACCTCAACGTGATAGGCACGTTACCATAATCGAATAAAATAATTCGAAGTGGTCTGTATCCTGTCAAAACTGCCAGACGCGGATCGCGATTTCGATCTTTTTGGATCTCATCAGCGCGTCGCAGACAGCTCCGACAGAACACAGACCAACCTTTACCTCCTGTCTTAACAGCGCGTTTTAGAAAATACCAGAAATGGCGCGGTAAACGCCATCTGTAGTACGATGCTACATTTTAGGATTACGTATGATCCAACAAGGTCAATTTAAATATATGGATATCTACTTCATCTTCACCTTTACTGTACTTTTACTTTTAAGACTTTTTATGTCTGATTAGCTGCCGCCCATAGGGTATTGCAAATAAGTAATTGTCCAAAAGTGTTTCTTAGGAATAAAGTTTGTTTAAAAGATTTTGAATTCTTTTTTTTTTTTAAAACAAAAGTTCCGAGAAGAAACCAAAAACTCCAGTCCGTCATAAATCTACCTAATAACCATACAATAACATCACTAATGCATATACATCTCCAAACCTAACCTAATCAAACATTAGCTTTACCAATGCATATACATCAGGCGATCGCACTAGAACTGCGTAAACACATAACACTCCGATTCTCAGGTTACTAACGTGTTTTATTCATTTTATTCACATCATCATCATCATAAGGTCATCAGTCCTAAGACTGGTTGGATACGTACCTCCACTCGTTCCTATCCTGAGCTAAACTTCGCATTTCCCTAAAACTAAAACAGCCCACATCCTTAACTATTTGCGAACAGTAATCTAATCTAGGTCTACCTCTACCCCTCTTAACTCCAGTTTCTGCCTCTAATATGTCTCTGACTAGACCTTCATGCCTGAGAAGGTGTCCTACCAACCTATCTCGCCTATTTTTTATTGTCTTCCATAGAGTCCTCTGTTCTCCTATTATTTCCAATTTTATTCACAGAAAGCAAATGTTTTATACATTTTCTAGTATAATTTCGGAATTTTATACAATTCCTAGGAAATATATACATTTTCCAGGATATGTGTGTTTTAAAAAATTCTTGAAACAATATTTTATAGATTTCCTATATAGCCTCCGAATTGTATACATTTCCTAGGAATTATATACAATTCCCAGGTTTCATACATTTCCGGTAACATATGCAAGTGGACCAACGAGACGTGGCGCGTCTGACGAGCATTGTACAATGGCTATTTTTTGATACTACTGTACTAAATGAACAGAATAAATACACATAAAGTTAGAGTAAATAGTGTGTTCCCAATGATAACCCCTTGTGCAAATCGATATTTCTCCCGAGCGTGAACGACATCCTTTTCTAACCGAATGCGGTTCTTGTTTATGATCTGCTTCGCAACTGAAAAAGTCAAGGGCTACTTCTCGATGCATCAACTGTACATATTTATATTTTTTTTCCAGAAATTTCATTTTATTTTATTGAAGGGGATATTTCTACATTAAAGAGTATTAATTAACGTTTGTAAAGAAGGACCCTTAATCAACCGTTTTAAAATTGATACTAAAATATTAACAAATTATTTGTATTCATCATTCTTTCCCTGTTTTAAATGAAATTAAAGCCAAAAAAGGTCAAATGTTATTTTTTTTATTTTTTAAAAAACAACCGGTTGTTTATGTTTCACTTAGTTGTGACTGATCGACTCATGAATGCGTGACCATTTTTATGTAAATGTTAATTAATATTTAATTATTCAATGTTTGAGTATCCATTTATACAAACCATTACAACCAAAAATCATGCCAAAAGACAATAGTCTACGCTAAATGTTACTTGAATAAGAAAACAAAAGGGTGTACCCGGAAAACAAATACATACTTTTAAGATAATAAAACGTATTCCTTTAGAGAATGTTTTTCCTTCTGCAATATAAATAGAAACAACCCTTTGTATGTCAACAGTAGATAATGTCAAATGATATTTGAATAAGAAATTTATGAAGAGCTTCTAGATATCGATATTGCTTTCAGTCGTTCAAATCGTTACTGCAATTGAAATGGTTGATGTGAAACATAATGCGAAAAACGACATTTTCCATTACGTACTTAAACATCAAAAGGAAGACACAACAATAACCATCAGTAATAGATAACTCTGTCGTTTTCTAGGAAGTTTAAAGGTTTCTCTACACATTCACGTTCTGCAATACTTGAGCTTTTGTGTAATGGAAAGTAAAACATGTCGCAACATGAGAAACAACTCAGACGTTAGCGTTAATAATATAACTGCTTAGTCAAAAGAAAAGAAAACAATAAAGAAAACATACACGTTTTAAAATTGGAAGTTATTGAAAAACCCAAGAATAGTAAAATAACGCATGGCTTCGTCCGTTTAATAGAATATCATTAAATCTAAAGCACAGAAATGATTTGGAAACGGAGGTTATGGAATTTCTAAAAACATTGAGGCAATAGAACTTATCACCCTTATTTTGTTGTTTGAATGAGGCACAATGGCTTTTATGGTAATATGAAATATATTGGTGTATGATAATTCCATTACAGTTTAGTTAGGATTTAAGTAAAAGGTTTTTGTAGTATTTTACCTTCCATTTAATCTATGGAAAAGTTTTGCGTTCAAATTACCAGCTTAGAGTTATATTAAAAATGAATTAATTTTGTTAAAAATCACATACATTTATTGTTTGAATTAACTTTATCGACTACAGATAACCGCAAATTAATGAGGAAATTCAAAGTGTTTCACATATATTTATAATAACAATTGTGAAACTTTTGTGAGAAATACCGGAGATAAAAATGTTCAGTCTCTCAGAGTCTCTGAATGCGAGACTTTAGTCTCCGCCTCTCATCGAGTCTCTCTGGTGTCGCTGAGAGAGACTGTCGAGAGACTGCCAAAAAAACTGTTTAGCGTCTCTCAACGAGAGACTCGAGTCGCTCATAGACATATCCTCATTTCGTATCCAGTCTCTGAACGAGAGACTCGAATCTCCCAATAAGTGGTGTCTCGTTAGACATGGTTAAAATTTTCTATGTTCAACATATTTCAGAGATCAAAGTGAGACTCTAGTCTCTCAATTTTTCAGTTTTATTCATTCAGTCTCTCTGTGAGAGACTTGAATCTCTGAATTAACAATTTTATCGTTCGAGTCTCTCATACAGAGACTGTTAGAGATCCATAAAAACACCTAGACAATAACTGAGAGACTGTGAGAGACGCTCTCAGAGACGCTGAATGATTCTGAGAGACTGGAGAGAGACTGAAAATTTTTGTCTAGGATAGTTCGAATTCTAGGATGCGTATGAAGGAACCTACATTTCTAACTATTTGCGAACCTATGCTGTCTCTGTCTCTTTAAACTCCTGTTTCTGCTTCTAATAAGTATATCTCTAGTCATCCCTTTATGTCTGAGAAGGTGTCCTATTTATCGAACTCATTCTAAAATGTCCTCATTCTATCTACGGCGTTTTTAATGCGACATTTAAAGCCATTTTAATTTCTTCTTTTTCCAGTTGCGGATCAGAAACCTTTATTTAATTAATTTGTTAGTTTAAGTTAGATTCCTGACCGTTAATCTTATATTTTATTTTTTTTTTCCAGGGTGGCGGTCAATAAATTACACAAATTGTTTGTACTACAAGACTTCAATTGCAATTACTTATAGAAAAACTCAATAATGTAAACGAATAGTCGGAGACCATAAACCATATAGAGGGTTACTGCTTTGCCGTAAAATAAAACTACCTAAACATTCAGAATAAGTATATAGTATTACAACGAGAAATAATGATTAAATTTAAGTAAAAATCTGTATGCAGCTTGACAAGAATATGAAGAAGTTTATGCGCGAAAGAAAGACAAAGAAAATATTCGAAGGAGAATGGCCGGCAGAACAAGGAAGAACAGAAGGGACCCACTAACCAAACGTAACAGAAAACAAACAATTTGTTTAATTAATTGATCGTCACCCTGGAAAAAAAATTTAATTTGTTACGTATTAAAATATAAACTGATATCTTTTGAACAGCTGCAATCCTACAAGTGGCAATATTGTAGGTATTGTACCTACGTTTTCCTACTATGATGCACCAAACTATCAATAACAAATAATAGTATTCTAGTGAAACAGCGAAATTTTGGCTTACTAGATTTGTGCATGCCTCGTGCTGTAAACCAAATTGGAGTCGGTTCCTGTTATGGAAATCTCAAACACACTCTAATTTATTGATAATTTATAGCGCAAACACACATACACGTCTACCAAAACAACAATTGAATGATATGTATAAGCATATACGTATAGCAGATAGTAATAATGCACAAAGAACAAAGAACAATTTTTCATTTGATTAACAAATGGAATCGTGTGTAGGTTTATGTAATTTAATCACTCTGCCTACAGACTCTAACAGGAGGATTAACTTTTTATATTCCCGTTTAAAAATTCATCCATCAAATATTTTACCCTTTATAGGTACATAGGAATTCTAGCAAATTTTAAATGATTACCTGTTGATTTTCTCCAATAGAATAGTTCAAGGCGTCATCCGTGAAGTTTTGTATCAGCAAGAGTTTCATACTTCGTCGTCCATTGAAATACTATCTAAAACAAGCAGAAACAAAGTTTGAGGTAGAATAATATAATCATAAAGGCAAAGAGCATGCTTGGAAAAGACTTCCACCGTTTGTCATTAATTTAAACTTAATTATTACAAAAATTAGTTTAATCGCAACCTCTCACAATTCCGAATCGACTTCTGAAATTGTTACTTAAAGTTTTGAAACAAGCAGGGGCGTAACAAGGGGGAGGGTCCACATGTGCCCGAGCACCCAGTCGATTGGGTTGAGCCCCCAGTCAATTCCAGTCGATTCAGATAATAACCCAACTTGAAAGTTCGATTCGAATAGTTCAAGCTCTTAAATAGGCAGCCGAACTCGATCTTTTCAGCGTATACACACCCGCAGTATATAAATAAACAAACAAAAGTAATCTAAAATATTATAATAATTGCTATTCGGTGATGGGACCACCCGGTCAAACTGTAACGTTGTTGCGCCACTGGAAACAAGGATATAGTCATAAGTAGCAAGCTTCGCTTCTTCAGCTAAATGCCCAAGTGAATCGCATGGTGAGTAAAGCAGCGTGTTTAAGGGACAAAATTAGATGAAGTTGTAATCCTAAAGCTGGTCTTGTGCGTGAATTGGCAAATGGTAAGCAATAGCGGTTGTGGAACGACTCGTAAGGTAAATCTCAACAGCTTACTACTACATTACTACACATAATAATCTTTAGACGATCATTACGATAAAAAATAATGAAATTACTATTTTATTTGTCGCTGATAGTATGCACTATTTTGTACTGACCTATGATACCAGCACATTGACCTACTTCTAATGACTTCGACTGTCTGCATACATATGGTATACGTGCATACAACGTTAAAAAACAATCAATTATTCTATGTTAGATGTAAACATATAAACATTGTCAATCGGGTGCAGGACTCGTACTGCACTGACCTATAACACTGACTCATTGACCTACTTCTAATTATTTTGACTGTCCAGGCTGACTGTAAACATATACATCGTCAATCACACTTAATTGTTCTGCACTGACCTATGACACTGACACATTTACCTACTTCTCATTATTTTGACTGTTTAGGTCAGCTGTAAACACATACATCGTCAATCACGCCAATCAATCTAACCTAATCTAATATAATCTAACAAATAACAAACAATACATAAGTACAAAATTACAGAAGAAATACAACAAGGATGCTCCTAAGTCACAGCGGATTGAATGCAGCGTTGCAGTGTTGCATTCCCCGGCGTGATCTCACCAGGGCTGGACTTCAAGTACATTTTTCTTGAAAACGGGGAACATTCCGACCACTAATCATTTACATAATTTTCTTTTCTTACAATACTCTATCATCTCTTACAAGTTTGCTACTTATTTCAGAAACACCCTGATAGATACGTAACTGATAACAATTCAAAAGTAGTGGTTGCGAAGGTCACAGTAGCACGTACCATGTGATATGTTACATTAAAGCTCGCGGCATTTATTGAAGAGGAGTGAGGGACGAATGGTCACACAGTTCACTCCTGCATAACTAATGTTAGCGCGTAGGTACTTTGGAGAAGTGAAGGGTGGTGAAGCGTGGAGAAACAAATTTCTTTCAACGAGCACTTGGACGCGGCTTTAGTGCCGAAGTTTGTCAAGAATAATGATGATAATAAGTCACGCATATTATATAATAATCGATATAAACGAGAAACAATTTTAGTAGACAAAAAACCTAAAAGAGAAAACGAAAAACTGAATCGATAAAACACAGTCATATATTGCACATTTATTTGATTAGTGTAATCGTTTCTATTCATAAAAGTTTCATCTTCTGTTAATGACTGACTTTATATGGTGCCGAAAGCTGTAGAACATTATTTTGGAAATTATTTCGTGCTCAGACAATAATTCAATAATTCTCGGTTCGATTAAATCTCCTCAGAGCCGAGTCCCGTTTATGACGATTTACAACTTGAAAAGCAAGTCACGATTACATGAAATGTTAGAAGTGCTTGCATCTATATGGGTTCAGACTTGTGATCGCAATGTTCTGAAATTGTGTCATGCACAATTCCGATATCTTCTAGATGGGATTACATTGAATGTATATTTATTCCAATCGAATACTACTAAGTACAAGTAATTTTCACATCAAAAGAAACGCATTAGGGAAAGTCGTCATGTAAACTCTTTCATCAATATGAAATAACATGCGAAGTACTTTCAAGATAAAAATGAATTTCAATATATTACGTAGTTACTCACATTTTGGTACATAATCTGATTATCTACGTCGATCTCATATTAATCATATTTATTTTACATCGACTACTCCTTTCTGTCAATGCTTTAAAAAGGTTTTTAGAGTTCCGAAACCACTATAAAGATAAATTAAATTTTTAATGTCACCGCTACTTTTTCATTTATACATCGAAGACGCGATTAAAGACGATTAACAACCGTAGGGATAAACATACAGAGGCAAAAAAATAATGCTTAGACTTACAGTTGATATAAGAGTATTAGCATCTAGCAACGAGGAGTTAGTCTTAAATAAAACGGAAGTAATGTATGGAAATAAATAAAATTAAAACAAAAGTATTGGTATGTGAGGGAAGGAGTAGTGGTGACTGATTTTAGGTATCTAAGAAGTCAGATAGGGGTAATAGAGACATAACAGTGAGGATAATGCAGGGTCAAATTGCCTTCAACCAAAAGAAGTCATTTCTATTCTCGCGAACGGTTAATTTAGAAATTCGAAAAAGATTGTTGAAGATGTATGTTTGGAGCGTGGCGCTGTACGGGTACGAAACTTGAACGGTGGGCGCGGCGGAAAACAACAGGTTAGAAGCTTTCGAAATGTGGTGTTATAGGCGAATGATGGGGATACCGTGGATAGCGAATGAAGAGGTGTTAGCAAGAGTAAAAGAGCAGAGGGAGCTGTGGAAGTCAATAGCAAATAGTTGAGATTGGTTAATAGGACACCTTCTCAAACATGATGGGCTCGTCAGAGAGATATTAGAAGCAGAAACGGAAACTAAGAGGAGTAGAGGTAGCCCTAGATTAGATTACTGTTCACAAATAATTAAGGATAGGCGATGTTTTAGTTTTAGGGAATTCGAAGATTAGCTCAGAATAGGAAAGGTTAAGGTACGAGTCGAACCATTCTTATAAGTGACGACGTTATGATGATGATGATGATGATGATGAATATGTATACACCAATCAGTGGCGTGTTACAGGCAATCATCAAAGAGAGGCATCTTTTGCTGGCGTTGTATAAGAAAATTCGTACAAATACGTTTAGTTATCTTACCATATAAATAATAAGGTGAGTTAGGTCCCATAAATACAATTTAAAGGTGTTACGCTTTATCAAAAGATTTTGAGAGCTCGGTAAGTGTAGGACAGTTTTCAGAGAAACAGGTGATAGTTTCAGATGTGATTGAAATAATATACTCCAGAAGTTTAACAATTTAAGCATAAAAATAAGAAATTACGATAACGAAATGTGTAACTTCTATACTCGGTGAACGTTTTGTCTTACTTGTATAATGGTCTCATAAAAAATATTGAAATAAAAATAAAATTATGTCTGCTATACAAAGGTTTCAAATGTCATAAAGGTATGCCTTATATAAATCTGTTCACAATTAATAACTTTAGTTGCTGCTTTTAGCTTTCACGTGAAGGAAACTTTTCGAATCTAAAGCCTTATTTAAATATTCAATAGAATTCAATCAAAGAAAAGTTTTTTAAATCAAAAACTAATAGACTGCTTTGTAATAAGCTCAAACGTAGTACCTACTTAATGTTTTTTTACTGATAATTGGATAGTCGAGTAATCAATTAATTATTAAATAATTACCCAACTAGCGTGCCTACAAATTTTTACTCTAGTACACTTGTAGTTCCGATTTCAGTTTTTTATTCCACGTGCTCCAATCGTTAAAATAATTTTGTAAATTGAGAAAACGCAACGAAACGGAAATTGACGATGGTGCGAATAGAAACGCACCTTTTACAAAGATAGGGTACGAAAATCGTTTCCGGTTGTTAATTCTAAATGACTTTTTCATTAACTCATGCCAAATGGTTAAACCTCTTTCTCCAGCTTCTGTGTGATTAATCTTATCCGCCGTCTGCTTCACCGATTTACACAATCCGGATAAATGTGTCCTATCTACTTCTAACACTAAACATTCGAAGTAAATGATTAAACGCTATCTTTTTGATAGCGAACTCCACGTGGATTCCAAAGCGCCCATTCAAAATGGCGGTAGGACGCCATACTGTAACCGCTGCAGATGATTTACAGTTTTACATAGATAAGATAATGCCATTATCTCCAGGAATGTTCCTTCAGATGAAAATTGACACTGAAATCAACGGAACTATTTTATTTATGTTAATTGTTGTGTTTGGTCGATTTCGTTTTTTCCTTTTGATCTTTTTTAAGCATTTTGCGTTAAACTGTATCAGGAAATACCATAAAAGCACAGTTCTTTTAATAATAGAGTTAATTTAACTTGAATCGGATTATCCTAAATAATATTATAAAGGCGAGTTTGTTAATTTATTTGTTTGTTTATTACGATTTCACGCCTTACCTACTCAACCGATCATCATGAAATTTGATTGTAATTATCAGGGATACAAAAAATTGCACAGGGTACCTTTTATCCAGAAAAAAGGATAGAAAAAATTGGTTTTATGTAGTCGTCGATGATCTTTAACACGTACTTTGGACGACATCAATGCGAGCCAAGCCGCGGGTAAAGCCTAGTTTAAAATAAATCTGATTTTTGGAGCTATCGAAAAGATAAATAACGACAAAATGTGAGCTATATGTTTCAAAAAGAAAATATTGGAAAACTATTATCCTGAAGAAGTATGTACGAATGAAAAACGAAAGAGCGTAACAACAATAGCAGCTTCACTGCTAGAAGCCATGTAACTTATGCATGAGTGATCGAATACATAAATTTTAGTTCCAGAAATGAAGTAGATGCATGCATCCGTGCATTCATGTGTGTGTACCTATTAGGAATGACATGACCGACTTCAATTTTGGAATTGTAACAATACGTTGATGTTGGTTTTCATCTTACAAAATATACGAATATTATCATAAACACGCCTAACACGTCACAATATTGTTCATCCTAAATAATTAAACGTTCTGATTGAATGGCATCCCGAGATAAAAATGTTCACTCTCTCAGAGTCTCTGAAAGCGAGACTCGANTTTAGCTTTCACGTGAAGGAAACTTTTCGAATCTAAAGCCTTATTTAAATATTCAATAGAATTCAATCAAAGAAAAGTTTTTTAAATCAAAAACTAATAGACTGCTTTGTAATAAGCTCAAACGTAGTACCTACTTAATGTTTTTTTACTGATAATTGGATAGTCGAGTAATCAATTAATTATTAAATAATTACCCAACTAGCGTGCCTACAAATTTTTACTCTAGTACACTTGTAGTTCCGATTTCAGTTTTTTATTCCACGTGCTCCAGTCGTTAAAATAATTTTGTAAATTGAGAAAACGCAACGAAACGGAAATTGACGATGGTGCGAATAGAAACGCACCTTTTACAAAGATAGGGTACGAAAATCGTTTCCGGTTGTTAATTCTAAATGACTTTTTCATTAACTCATGCCAAATGGTTAAACCTCTTTCTTCAGCTTCTGTGTGATTAATTTTATCCGCCGTCTGCTTCACCGATTTACACAATCCGGATAAATGTGTCCTATCTACTTCTAACACTAAACATTCGAAGTAAATGATTAAACGCTATCTTTTTGATAGCGAACTCCACGTGGATTCCAAAGCGCCCATTCAAAATGGCGGTAGGACGCCATACTGCAACCGCTGCAGATGATTTACAGTTTTACATAGATAAGATAATGCCATTATCTCCAGGAATGTTCCTCCAGATGAAAATTGACACTGAAATCAACGGAACTATTTTATTTATGTTAATTGTTGTGTTTGGTCGATTTCGTTTTTTCCTTTTGATCTTTTTTAAGCATTTTGCGTTAAACTGTATCAGGAAATACCATAAAAGCACAGTTCTTTTAATAATAGAGTTAATTTAACTTGAATCGGATTATCCTAAATAATATTATAAAGGCGAGTTTGTTAATTTATTTGTTTGTTTATTACGATTTCACGCCTTACCTACTCAACCGATCATCATAAAATTTGATTGTAATTATCAGGGATACAAAAAATTGCACAGGGTACCTTTTATCCAGAAAAAAGGATAGAAAAAATTGGTTTTATGTAATCGTCGATGATCTTTAAAACGTACTTTGGACGACATCAATGCGAGCCAAGCCGCGGGTAAAGCCTAGTTTAAAATAAATCTGATTTTTGGAGCTATCGAAAAGATAAATAACGACAAAATGTGAGCTATATGTTTCAAAAAGAAAATATTGGAAAACTATTATCCTGAAAAAGTATGTACGAATGAAAAACGAAAGAGCGTAACAACAATAGCAGCTTCACTGCTAGAAGCCATGTAACTTATGCATGAGTGATCGAATAAATTTTAGTTCCAGAAATGAAGTAGATGCATGCATCCGTGCATTCATGTGTGTGTACCTATTAGGAATGACATGACCGACTTCAATTTTGGAATTGTAACAATACGTTGATGTTGGTTTTCATCTTACAAAATATACGAATATTATCATAAACACGCCTAACACGTCACAATATTGTTCATCCTAAATAATTAAACGTTCTGATTGAATGGCATCCCGAGATAAAAATGTTCACTCTCTCAGAGTCTCTGAAAGCGAGACTCGAGTCTCCGTCTCTCATCGAGTCTCTCTGGTGTCGCTGAGAGAGAGACTGCCAAAAAAACTGTTTAGCGTCTCTGAACGAGAAACTTGATTTGCTCATAGAGAGATCCTCATTTCGTATCCAGTCTCTGAACTAGAGACTCGAATCTCTCAATAGGTAAGTGATTAAAATTTTTAGTTTAACGTATTTCAGAGATCCCAGTCTTTCTACGAGAGACTCGAGTCTCTCAATTTTTCAGTTTTATTCATTGTCTCTGTGAGAGACTCGAATCTCTGAATTAACAATTTTATCGTTCGAGTCTCTCATACAAAGACTGTGAGAGATCCATNTCAGTAAATAACTTGGCAAATTGAAAACACTACCTATGTACCTACTTCTTTCATCCTTTCTTTCTTTCTTTGTCCTGTTTGTCCTCCTACGTTATTCATCCGATATTAACGGCTAAATTGTAAAAAATCAAGTTAAATAAGGGTAAAGCTTTTTATTTTTTGACTAGGTTGCGTTCGGTCGTCGAGTTCGAAAACTTGGGTTATTTATTGGACCAACATCAGCTAAAATCAGAACTACCGGATTTGACGAATGGTCGAATGTATGTCGTTACTATTAACTTAGAAACATATCCCTGATGACGCCTTATATGTGAGGCGAAATACAAGTAAAAACCTTTATTTAACTTGATTTTTTATAATTCTAAAATTGTTTTGGAGAAGTAATGGCAACTACAATTAACGATTACAGTTCTGAGAGTTATAATGCCCTCTACAAGGTACGCTTCTGAACTAAAATAAATTTAAAAATTTAAAAATAAACACAGAAACTTTCATTCTTATATGGTACACATATACACACGAGAATATTAATGGGTTTTAGTGTAATATATTGGTAGACTGTCGCTCGGGCAGCGTTTAAATATTTATTTTTTAGTTGTTTTTATGTTAAGTTAGGTTAAGTTTATTTGGCCAATTATGCAAGGCATATTGTAAAAGATGGCAGCACCATGTTGCAATAAGTCTAAACGCCCATACGGTTTTATAAAACGTCCATGAATATGTTAATAGTAATGTAAAATTTCGTAGATTATACGATGCAAAACAGTAATGATTAACTGGCAGCCTTACACGCTGAACAAAAAGTTTTCCAGCACTTCGTTATTTTTTGTTGTGGCGCGTCATGTCAATTTCAGTTTCTTAAGAAAGACTAAAAATGACTTTCCTAATTTATCTTAAAGCAGTGAAAAGCACTCTATTAAAATATTTTTTGCAGCTTTAGCTGCTACAGCGTTCTTCCATTGGTCTAACAATTCCGTTAAATCGTTTCAGGCATTTCTTGTATATCCCATTTTCCCTTTTATCCTTTTAGTTAAAACGCGTCTTTTCCGTTACTCTCAACTGTGAGCGAACCAAATTTTGTATCAATAATAAATATAATTAACGTAAGAAGACATTTTCATAAACACGAAACCACTTGAGGTAAACTTTCAATGCAAATATCTACAAGCAAACTTTCGCTCACAAAATTACCTATTACTTTAAATTACTTCGTGTTGATATTCCCACTGGTAATACGATGACACAGAGGTTTAGCAACCCTCACCAGAAGTAATAAACAAAAACCATTTGACACGTAGCAACATCATTATTTAATAAAGGGCGTTGTTTTAATTAACAAAATTTATTGTCAGGTAATCAAAAATTAAATCAAAAGCGTGTGCTGCTGCGAAACTACCCGCATATTTATAACAGGCAGTATTTCTACATGATCCGATGGTGAGTACAAATTGATTCAAATTTATAAAAATCCGATTTATCACTGAAAAGGTTTTGTCATAAACTATTTTTATAACCACGGAAATTTCTTTCTTTCTATTTCTAATAAATTGTACTTATGAAAACAGTAGAACCTATGCAGTTATCCAAGCTTATGACTTCGTATCCAACCTCTACAAAAAGTATATTATATAGGTAAATTGATCTGAATAAAGCAGGAGTTACTTTGACATATTTATTTCTCATTTGAGAGAGTTGCTAATGTTTTTGTTTCGATATTGGAACCGATTTTTCTTTTTCAAAGGCTCTCAAATAAAGTGATCAACGGCCTAATCTTAATAATTCTGAATCAAAATATACATATTTAATGGTTTTAACTTACCATTAACCATGCAGAAATCCAGTTTAACCCATTTATTTACATATATATGCCGTAACCAAAAAACAATCCAACGAAAATTATTTTCACAACTATGAATATTTCAGTTGAACTTATCCGACTTGCGGCAGAAAACAACACCGGTTCCACTTTTGATTTTAATATTTGATTTGTTCGTTAACTTTTAATTCTTGAAAAGTGAATAATTGTAAAGTTCGAAACTTTCGGAAACAATTGCGCTGTCAGGTCGCCGGAAAATAATATGAATGTACAAGACGACGCTTGCGGAACCACTGGTGGAAGAGCGTCAAGGGCTCTCTGTATCTTCAATAAAAACGGCGCATGTGATCCACGAAACTATGATCAAACTAATAAATGACAATGGAAGACTGTCGCCTGGCTGTTACTATCGTCTTCATGTACCTAAGTTTAACTGACAATTATTCTACAATGTTATATGTATATAGAAAAGATTAATTTAGTAGACGAAATATAATAAAGAAATAGATACACAAATAGGAATGATACGGGGAATAGGTCAAAGGCTTTGTAAGGATGACTGGTACAACAGAAAGAATTATTTGATGCATTAGTAAAATGTGTGATATTTTATGCAGTCGAAATTTGGGGATAGAGGGTGAAGAATATATACCTATAGAAAATATATAAAATGAATATTAATATGAAAAAGTGTTTCATATAATATAAGATGAATATTTAAATTAGACACCACATTATGTTATTAGAAGGGAAATCAAATTGGTTGATGAAGCTAGAAAAAGAGTAATTAAGTATGAAAATACAACGTGTAATTATACATCACGCTACTGAAGTAAAACTTCTTCAATGACACAAACATACCGGGACAGGGGTTAAGGAAGTTAAGTTTAGGTAATGGTATTATTTGTACATTATGAATTTAAATTTTCCACTGTACATGCCGAAGTTGCCTGTAACGAACGTTGCATTGAAGCGGGCTCACGGCTCAACCGATCCCCACTACGAACTCGATTAGGTACGTGGCCGAGTAGAGGGGGACATCCGTTGCATGATTTCGTTACATAGCAACTCGCATGAAACGAACTTATCCTACCGTGCGTAAAGAAGTTTCACTTCAAAAAGTTGAAAAATCCAAAAAAAAAAAGGAGATATAAGTATTAAGAAGGGAAAGTAGAATTAGGGAAGAATATTAGAAATATGTAGGTGCAAAAAACAGGCATGTGCAGGAAAGAAAGGAAGCATTAAAGGAATTGAAAGTAAGTCAGAATCATTTAAATGAATGAGGAAGGATGGATATGTGTGTAGATGAGATAATGTGGATTAGGTGTAGTGAAATGATAAGTGGTGAGAATCTGAAGAAAATTGATAAATTAACATACGTACGACGCATAAAGGATTGGATATGGGTGAGCTGACAGGATCATTGTATGCCAGGGTATTTAAAATGTCTAAAAGAGATTGATGTGATAGCAAAGTGTTTGGTTGTTGGCAAAAGAAGGATTGAGGGTTATGTAGGTAGAATATGTGGATTGGGAGAGGAAATTTTGATGCTTGTATTGGGAAATGATGAAGAATGTAAGGATTATGATGAGTACAGTGACGTGATAAGTGAGAAAGGGAATAGTCTGATCAGTTTTAAATGTATATGCAAAAAGAAAGAAAAGGGAAGAATATCGGGGAGTGATAGTAATGTATGGGAGAAGGGACACTTTTGTTTTTTATGTTTTTTTTTTGATTGTTAATATAAAAAAGGAAAGATTTTAGTATTTTAGTTAATATTCATGTTGTAATTGCCCTGTATCGAAAAGGCTTAGTTTAATTAGTGTTATGTAAACATGCGAAAATAAGTTTATGTTGAAATAAATACTCTATGCAGTAGACGAAATCAAATTCGACCCTTTCCAATCAAAAAATATTTTACCCCGTCCGTTGCTGACGTAATAGCGATCGAGACCCCACCGTTTCCCATGTTATCGAAAACAAGCAAAGCAAAGACTCCCCCACCCCCAACTGGAGCTTATGTAATACTTGAATGATCATAAAAAAACCGACACAGTTAATTCTGAACGTTATTAGGGTATGTTATCTTTTATTATTTATTCACTTAAAAAATGAAAACCAAATAAAGTCCACGTGTAAAAAAATTTATATCCGTAAAGCTCTAGTTAGTTGAAAATTGATTCTTTTGCAGTTTTGTTTATCATATTCACTGAGGAAATTGACATTTTTTCAAAAAAACAACTGTTTATTTCATAACCGCTCTCTGAAATATATGAGGTCTGTTCAAAAAGTATTGCGAATTTTTACGTATATTCGGTTTTCGTTTTCTTGGTGGCGTTATGTTGGTACTCGTGTCTTTCATTTATACCGACAAGTTGTGCCATGTTGAATGTTTAGTTAATTTTTGACAGTTGTTTTGGCTCGATTTAGATTTTTGCCTATTCCAAAAAATTGATCAAAGAATCTGCTCAATTTCGACCAAAAGCAGCATCACATTAACATTGCTAAAGAGGTTTTAGAAAATACCACAAATCGCGCGGTAAACGCTATCTGTAGTACGATGCTACATTTTAGGATTACGTATGATCCAACAAGGTCCATTTAAATATATGGATATCTACTTGCTGAAACGAATCCCGGTGTAGCTAAGCTCAACGTGATATGCACGTTACCATAATAGAATAAAATAATTCGAAATTGTCTGTATTGTGTCGAAACTGCCAGACGCGGATCGCGATTTCAATCTTTTTGAATCTCATCGCAGACCGCTCGGACAGAACACAGACCAACTTTTACCTTAACAGCGCGTTTTAGTAAATACCACAAATGNGCCTGCTTTCAGGAATCGTGGGAATAAGTGGGTGGTGGTTCGGGTGAGAAAGATGAGACGGAAGAAATGAAGACAGAAGAGAATGAAATATTATCTGTGGAATATTACTGCCTCAGCATTTGCCTGGGTGATCCAAGGACAACACAGAAAACTTGGACCAAGACAGACGGACCCGGAATCGAACCGGCGTCCTTTCGAATGCCAAGCAATGGTCTAAACCTGTAGGCCATGCCGCTCGGTTCTGTTATTGATTATCTAAAAGTGTTTTATATCTTAAAACTAAACACACCTCGGCCACTACCCCCACCCACGGTCAACACCTACCCGAACAGTCCGTATGCTGGTATAGGTATGCATTACCGATAATTTAGGGAGAAACCTAATTGCTTGATGTCATTAAGGGGTTAGTACCACAGGTAAGAACGATGAAGTCTTAACAGTCCTTCATTTTTAGACGCATTTACATTTACTTCTAGCAGATCGTGGATACAAATTCTCACAGTAATGTTTGGCGAATTGTGGGTAGATAGTTATTTTTGACAGCGCAATATTTCTCGCTTAGGACTTAATTAATCTGATACTAAAGTTACAATAAGAGCACCCATTCCGTGTTATTCATGTCGAACTTCAAGTGTCGGATTTCCTGGCGCAGGAAGGGTCGATTCGCATTTAAAAGGGGGTAATCAATTACATAAATGCCTAAGAAAAGTACTATCTACCGGCAAACCCTTTACGAGAAAGTAAGATCAATTTAGGAAGATGTTCATTCTTTCATAAAGATACAGAAACATTATGCAGAAGAAGAAAGATGTTCAGTTAATTATGGAAATGGAGTAATCTTTGGATTTTCTGAATCGTTTTCTTTCATATTTTTCCGAAATTAGGGCAAACTGGTGTCAAGTAAAATATTGACACCAAATTTTGTATAAAATCAGTCAATATCAATCTATTTTAATTTAATTAAATAGAAATCTTTATGGTGAGAATAAATCTATTCCATCAAGGAGTTGTAACATGAGAATTGCACGTTCAGTTTTCAGTAGTAAAAAATGAGCACGAATGGATCCACATATTGACGCATTCCTTTAAAAATGGTGTAAAATGAAACAATTTACTGATTTTACAAATCATATCACCCATTTTGGCTTAAAACGCCGGTGAAATTGGACTAACATCAGATCAGCTTTACATTAAGGTACTTTGTAATAATGGTTAATATTTAATATCAAGGTCAAAATTCAATTAATATTTATCCACTAGAAATTACCTTAAATTAATAAGAAAAAAAACACCTTCGCCGAGATTCGAACCCGGCTTTATTCGCATTAAGCACCAATACTCTGACCACTAAGATACGAGAATTAACAGCAGTAACAACTAAACTTGATCTACGACCTAATCAGTGCGTTTCGTCATCGTTGCTCCTGTTGCCGCTCGTAGTTAACGCAGTGTTGCCAATTCGAGGGTTTATCCCGATTCGAGGGATTCTTGCCGTTCTCGTGGGATAAAGGGATTTTTCCTTATTTTTGCGGGATTTTTTGTAATTTGCTATTTTCTGGTTGGTTTTATTTAATTTTGTTGACCTGTTATTATATTATGAAGGCGCTCATTTTTCTAATTGTAAACGTAAAATTTTGTCAGCTATAACCGGTTTATATACGAGGGCGACGTGGTGCAGCCCGCAGGAACCTGCTCAAGTCCCTACAATAAATTGTCTTGAACTTTTTTGAATTGAATATTGTTTTCGTATCATTGTATGGTCTTCAGCAAACGTCTTGAAAGTGACCAGTCAACAGATCAGAAATAGATGTTAAAACTAATAAAAATAAATGTTTGAATTGGTGTATTGTTCCGAAATCCGAACATCTAAACATCTAAACCCCCAAGGCCTGGTTTTGTCTGCATTTTTGGGAAACGAGATAACTACATACAATAAAATTATCGGTATTATACTATCGACACGAAAAGTTGTCCATGTTTACAAAAATATTGTATATTTTTTCTTCGAATAAACGATTAAATTAACGAATTAAAAAATAATAATAGTAATAAGTTGGAGGGATTTTTAGAGAAAATATGGGA